AAAGGTATAATATTACTGTCTAAGTAATGAATTTTAAAAATCAATATTACACTCTTCAGTGAAGATGTAAAGATCTGGTGTGGAAACATTTGAGGGGAAACCATCTGATTTTTCTTATAAACTAATTTTTCAGGGGTTTTTTCAGTGCAAAATTAGAAACTTTGGGTAATTTAAGGGGAAAATGTAGTGATTTTTTTTTAAAAAAAAGATCAGCTTTTTTAGTTTGAGTCCATAAGCATCCCCAAGTTGTGAATAGTAGTTCACAATGTCTTCAGTAGGAGCTTGATGCGGAAAGATAGGAAAGAAGTTTTTCTATCTTCTGTAAAGTATCTCTTTTTTAGTATTGCTTAACTACAGTCTTGGTTATGAGTAAAATAAATTAATGCTTTCTGTTCTTTGAAAGATATTTCATATTCTACATCTCACACCGAGATTCAGTATGACAGAAGCATTAGATATTGTTGTTAAGAAAGATAATGTGTATGTCTTCTTTGGGAAGAGAGGGTGAAGGGAGAGGAGACAAATTTATGGAGCTCAAGGAAAAGCAGAAAAAGAGCTGAATTTGAGAAAGAAGAGGAAAATGAAGAATAAAAAAGAATAAAAAATGAGCCCTCAAATGAAATAAAGCTGGGGTGTAGTCAGTGGTTTGTTGCTTAACAGGAGGACAAGACTTTCAAGCAGCATTCCGAATACCCTAGGTCTAAAAGGCAAATATATATATAGAGAGAGAGAGGGGAGGGGGGAGGGGGGGATTCAAAATTACGGTTTATTATTTGGGATGCATTGCGATAAATTCTTTTGTAATCCTTCAGTTATTACGTAGATCTAGGCATTTAGATAATTAAATGAAAACTAACTTCCTTGGCTTCTTGCCACAACCCCCTCCCCCCAGCCTTTCTAGTTATGCTTTTTGCCTGCCTTTTCCTCCTCCCTCTTGATCATATCTTTTATTATACAATTAAGATAAGATGGATTGCAGAGAAGAGTGGGCTTGTTAGATACCTGATCGTTAAAACTGCAGATGCCACAGATTGTGTTTGGAATGCCTGGTTCTTGCACGCCAAACCAATACTGTACCACTTATATGCATGCCATATTTCCTTATACAAAGTACGGATGCACAAAGAATGCAGTAATGTTATCCAATTTCACAGTTTTGCAGAAATTTCAAATTTAGATTTCTCCTCTTTTATTTTCCCCACCAATCTTTGTAGCTACACTTGTTCTTGTACTTGTGGTGGATCAGTGCCCTCTCACTAAGATAAATCATTCCTTCTTAATCTTTATTTATTTATTTATTTATTTACAGCACTTATATGCCGCCCTTCTCACCCCGAAGGGGACTCAGAGCGGCTTACAAGTAAAAAGTAAATACAATATATTTTATTATCATAGCACAATATTAATATTATATATTACATTGTACTATAACATTATACTGTAATATTATTAGTAATATTACATTTAATATAAATACATAATTATAATATCATTTTATTAGTAATAGTATATTGTATTGCATTATAATATTATTATTACCAAACAAGACATTTGAAGAATGTGTGATGTATACACATTGATAGAGGTGGAAATAGAAAAGAGATGCAATTGAAAGATTTTAAGAAAAATTTGATGCTTTGAGCCAGCCTCCCCACACCTGAAAGTTAATTCCTGGATTTGTTTGACTGTTGCTGTTCTCAAAAAACAATTCATTAGAAACTTTTCAATATATTTGAGATGGGAAGAGGGAAATTCAGATTTGAGAAATGGAAGTCAAGAAGGTCCAATGAAAAAATCCTTCACAAAGGAGTGAAAGTAATATTTTACAAGTATTCTGGAATATTGTTTAGTCTTTTCAAAATATGAAAACAAAAAATTGAACACTGCATTACTTACAGATAATGAAATATTCAAGTCAGTGTGAGTTAGCTACAAGTTATTTGTTATATGGTCTTTGCCTCTTTAATTTTTATGCTTTGAAAACATCATTATATAAGCTTGAGGATTAGTATGTCCTGGCACATTGAAAAGTCTTGCCAATAGTGCTAAAGAATTATTTTGAAATGCTAGGATAGCGGGACATTTTATTGTTTAGGTTTTGCTGTAGTGATCACTATTGAAAGCTGACTTGGCACAAAGCAGTCTCTTTTTCTGGATAAAAGGGAAACGGACTATGAGATAAGTTATTGATGAAATTAACTGCTGAAGTGGAGAGGAAATGCAGCTGCCCAATACATGTCATAGTGTGAGCTCTATTAAATGAATATATGTGCAGTCAACCATTCACAGGAGCCACACTGGTCTTGAACTGCATTGATCTATAGTATAATTCTAAATGAAATTGATGGATGAGAGCAACCATTGACAGGAAGGGTAAAGAGAACCACGAATTGCCTTGTATAGGGAAAGTATGATGGAAAATAGACTGTTGATGAGAATGTACTGTAGGCATATGACATTCTTATATTGTCTTACATTTATTTACAGTGTTCGCAGTATCAGTATCCATTTCATTTTCATTGTAGATAGCATCTTCTATGTCTAGAAGATGCTTACTTTATTACTTTTGAATTTTCTAGGAAAGTGTAATAATTTTTGCTCCATTTTCAGTACATCTTTTAGCAAATTGATGTTTTTTAAAACTCAAAATATAGTTTTGATATATAAAATCAGAAATATTTTACTTTTTAAATATTTTAAAATAAAATATACTTGAAGTTTACATCATGCCTTATAATACAATGTAGTTATTGGAATGAGGATAGTATAGAATTCCACTTTGGGTCAGGTACAAATTGAGATACACCCTTTTCAATCATGTCCTTTACGACACCACATTGTATTTGTATTCATGAATAAAACATTAGATTTAACTAGCTTTTACTTATATTGGAGCTACACACTATATGCAGAAATATCCAGATTTAGACACCCTAATAAAACACATCTACACCCTCATGTCCTCTTCCTCCCTACACACCCCCATTGCTTTATTTTATTCTTTGATACGTCGATGATTGACACTCTCTCAATGTAGTCTTTTAGAAACCCTTAATAAAAATTATATATAAAAAACAACAACACACTGATCATTATTTAGTCTTCCACTTTGAAAATGCTTTTAAAGAGGTCTCTGTGCTAAGGCTGCCAAAATTTCAAAACATAAATTAGGGACAGTCAGAATTCAAAACTTCTGATGAGTAACAGTACAGCATGAGACAAGTTTTACTCTGATAGTTATTCCCATAGTTTGGGAAAGTTGCTTTATTTTCTGGACTACATCTCCCTTGATCTCCTAGCCAGCATGAGCTAGGGATACTGCATGTTATTACTGAAAACAAGAAGAAACTATCCCAAGATATGGATATTTTGCATGATCTCAGACTGCATCTTTCACTCCCTGGAAACCTAGAAATACTGTTGTCTAGGATTCTTCAATCTGAAATTTGTCCACACAATTGCTACCAAGAGCCACCTCACACTGGAATTCTTGACCTGCAACCAGTTACTTTGCCCCTTCTTTTACTATGGAGTGGCACAGAATGAATGACAAGGCAAAGGGAGATTAGTTAGCCCTAAAATCCAGATTCCTGGATGTCCTCATAAGCCAGTGTTTCTGATAAATTATCAATTAAAGGCTATGAATAAGAATGTACTTAGTAACGTAAAATGATTCAGGGTATATAAGAAGAAAGAACTAAGGCAGAAGAAATAGCCTTTTTTGCTTTCTGGTGACACTGATTTTCCAGCATCAAATTATAGTTAGCTACTAGCATTATCACACATGAGTTTTATGTTTTTAATATTGTGAACATGTCACAAGGGTGGTCAATTAAATCTATCCGCTATCTAAATCTATCTGGTTCAAGGTAATACAGTCTAAGTACACAGAATCAGTTTCGTGCTGCAAAAATGTGGAGCTCCAATTAATACCTGAGATCATGAAAGTTTGTATTCACAGTCAACTTTATATAGAACTAGTACATGAAAATCAGCAGTTTTGTCCATAAAGTTTATAACTTCTTTGTGGGAACTTGCATTAGAAAATTGTGTTGTTGAAAGATATTGGTTGATAAAGATGATCTAGTAAGATGATCTGAGGTCTAGAAATGGATTCACATAGCAACTCCATTTTTTAAATGAAAAATGAGAGATGTTTTGCTTTTATTCGTCCATTTAGAGACCCTAAAGAGTTTTTTGTGCTTCAGATTACTTTGACAGCTAAGCATAACTATAATAATAAGGCTCTGGAAAAATCAGGGAGAATCGTAGGTACTGTTACACTAGAATCTGAACACAGTATCTTGAAAAATAGAATCCTCATGAAATCTATTGAGAAAAAGCCCCAAAGATACAGCATCCTCGCATCTGTCGCTTCTTTAGTATTCTGAAGCAACAAAATGGGTTTCTCTGCATATCTCTAAAATAGAGGTTGAAAAGTTACTTTTGAGAGGGAAGATGGTAATATAATGCTGAGCTGAAGCCAACCGTACCTAAACAGTGGTGGAATGAAGTTCTGGGTTCCAGAACATTATCCTACCGCTATTTGATTAGGAAGGGTTTTGTCATGTCATATTGATTCTTCTTGGAAATTGTGAAGCGGTGTTCTAAAGTAGTACTCCTGAGAGCCCAGGTTCCTCACTCTTTTTCAAATATTGGAGAAGGTTAGCAGTTCAGTTCTTCAGGCAAAATGTCTCCTTGACAGCCCGTGACAGCACAAAGAATGTCTCCTTGACCTCAAGGCCTAGCTTAGTTGAGAGAGTCAATTGCAACCACAACATCTTTCTGTCTAGCAAGGCCAGAAAAAAATCCTTATATGTGTGAATTTGGCTCTTGAGCCATTACTGTAGCAACCTTGTTGTTTCTTTGTTTGTGTTTTACTAGAATTAGAAATGTTGTTGTTAAACATCTCAGTGTCGAAGCTTCCATAATTCTGTGTCCCTTTCCATTTAATGGAATCTAAAACATATGTCATGTTTTGTTTCTCTTGCAATTTTAAGGTTCATGTTTTATCCGAACCGATCAGCTAGATGGTGAAACAGACTGGAAACTAAAAGTTGCTGTTAGTTGCACACAGAGATTACCAGCTTTAGGGGTAAGCATTGTAGTTATACCTTTCTTTTTTATTGTGCCCTATGCAGTTGTATGTTTTAGACCAGCTCTGTTTAAAAATTCCAGATCACAAAATTGTATCAACATTAATTAAGTATAGGTGTGTTAATAAAATTTTATATTGGTTTAGGACCACTGAAATCAACAGCTTATTTATTGGAAGGACAGCATTTCCTATGAACTGCTATATCCTCCTGATCATATTATTTTATAATGTTATGCTTAGGCCTCTGTGGCCAATTAGAAGTGCTGGATTTACTTTCTAAAATAACTCAGGTCCAAATTGCCCCCCCCCCCTCCTTCCACACACACATACATACAAATATTTACATAGATCCTAAGGCCATCTTTGGATGCTCTTGTCTGGGTGGTCTTGCTAAATAAAAAGAAAAGAGTGGTTAATGGGGTCTACACTTTAGTCTTTTCAGTACCCAGGGCCCTTGAGTCACCTTTGGGCTTGAAAAAGACGGGATAGAAATATTATATATAAAAATAAATAAATAAATAAATAAATAAATAAATAAAGGGATAATTTTATTTCTCCAGGCCATGTAACATTATCTTTCATTCTTTTAGCTTGTCTTGTAATGAAGAATTTCAGAATGAAAACTGTTGATACTACTGTGAATTTTCTTATATTTATCATCTGCTGCTGGTTTTCATGCTGTATTTAGCTTTTATGAAATGTATTTATTCTTATAGTATAAGCTGCCTGGGAACTTTATTATCATAAAATACTATAAATGAGATTCAATTTGAGAAGTGGTATTTGAGGGCACCTAGTAACAGTGCTCAATCTATTTGGCCTTCTTACATTGTTTACTAATTATTACAAACAACTTCAGACATGGAAAGGGTGGGATATAAATGTTTTAAATAAGCAAAAGCCCAAAGAATAATGCAGGTTGGTACATATAGCTAGGGTTCTTTGGTTTGTTTCTCAAACAGCATTCATGACATGTTGCACAAGTAATCATCAAAAATGATGCAATTGAGAAGTCTGCTCTTCAAAAAAAGCCCCATAAAAGGTCACTAATCCATGGGTGTAGTAAGGTTACTGTTTGGATTCCAGGCATTGTATTTGTTTTACTCATATAAAGTGAACTGAGTATACAATTTTCATATTTGTGTATCTTAAAAAGGGAACAAGAAAAGGAATTTCAGCTACTAAATCCAATTAGATACGTTTTTGAACTAACAGAGGAAATCTTACCCCTGCCCGAACTGGATACCAATGGCCATTCTGGTTGTGGACTATGAGAATTGTAGCCTATTATATCAAGGAGACAATATGTGAACAAGCATATTTTAAGACATGTTTATATATCTTTTCTTCTATGAAGTTCATACTTAATTTGGGTACTTTCCTGAAGATCAAGTATTGTCTACTTTATATGTTTGTACGCATAATGATATTAGTTGAAAGCCTATTTTATGTTATTCAATTAAACAGAAAAGTGACTCAAATTCAGATCCTAAATATACTTTCCTGAAGGTCTGTTTTTAAAATTTGTACTGAAAATTTGATGTTACCATTATTTTATATCATTTAATACATTGACTACTTTAAAATTGTTATCTTTCAAGCATTTTGAAATAATGAATTGCCACTTAAACTCAAATATTTCTCCATCATTTGCTTGGGCTTCTCAAAATAAAAGCAGTAAAATATAATATAACGAGTCTCTGTTTAACATGCATTTAACTCTTTATATTATTCATTTGAATTATAGAATGTTGGAATCAAGGATTAGGAATTAATTCTGTACTCCTTCTTAGAATATATTCTCTGAACCACATTGCCTTGTATAGCTTGACCTTGTTGCAAAAATAGGGAGCACCCGTCTCTCAGGATCTGTTTATGTAACACTCAGGTTTTTTTGCAGGCAACTTGGGCGCCACAACATGTGTGCCTGCTAAGATACTTGATTTCTCCGAGGCCCCTTCCACACAGCTGAATAAAATCCCACATTACCTTCTTTGAACTGGGATATATGGCCGTGTGAACTCAGATAACCCAGTTCAAGGCAGATATTGTGGGATTTTTTTGTCTTGATACTCTGAGTTATATGGCTGTGTGGAAGGACTCTGGGTATCACCAAGATAAGGTTAGATAACCTTTAGGAGTCAGCTGCTGTGGGAAAACAGATTAGATGTTGAAAGAACTCAATGGAGTTATTAATTGTAAGATCTCTAAAATTATTTCATTGTTTTCTTTTTGTTTTGCATAACACATTTTGACTGCAGCAGAGTCACAGTGGAGCAGAGTATAGACCATCTTCAGTATAGGATCACATAAGATACCAAGTAATTGAGTGAAGAGGACAAATGAATCAAGATTCAAGGAAACAAAAATACTGCATTTCTTCCATTCTAAGATACATTTTCCCCTTATATGAACCTCTCTAAAAATGGGGTGGGTCTTAGAATCACAGGGGAATCTTATGTATTTTTGTTGGTGGCAGTGGTACTGAAATTAGGATGTCTCTTACAATCGATGGCATCTTACAATTGAAGAAATATGGTTGTTAAAAGCCTCTAAAACCATGTGAAGATTAATTTTACAAAATGCTTGCAATCTCTAATTATCGCAAAGTTTTTTTTAAATCTGAGATAGATTAATAGATATAGATAGATATAATAAATTATACCTTTCCTCCATAAATTTGGACCATTGTAGCATTCTCAGGTTAATATGTAATATAACCAAATGAAATGCGCAGAAGTTCGGCTGGTTTCTGTTTTGCAGTAATTCTTGAATGCCACCTGCTGGGCTGCTACCAAAATGGCTGAGGAGATATATATGTCTCAAGCTTATCCTTGTGCTGCAAGTTTTCTCTGTTCTAGTCAATACAGCTTTGCCCATGAAAAAAAAAAACTGATCTTACCACATTCAAGCTCTGCTACCAATTTCTCTTGTAATCTCCAGAAAATAAAAAAAAATCTGGCTTTCAGTAAAAACAATATTGCAAAAGCTGAATTACTGGTTTGAATGTTGTGATACCTTTAAATTAAAAAAAAAGTTAAAGTAGGCTTGATAGTTCTACATTGCTAAAAGGGGATTATAATTTACAGTTTAAATGTTATCCAGTGATTTATAATTATTCCATTTTGAGGAAGGAAGTTGTTGACTTTATTACAAGGTTCTTCTTTAATTTACACTTTCCCTGTGGAAGACAAGGGTAGTGTTTGGGAGGCACCCCAAGGAAGGAAGAGGGAGGGAATCCCACTTTATAGGTTTTTTACTCTTGAAAGGCCAAGCAAATGTACCTATGCCCAGAAATACTTCTGAGAAGAAGGACCTGTTCTTTTTTGCATCTGTGCAAACAGTTCCAATGCCTTAGCCATTGGGCAGTTTTGTTATTGAACTAATTTCAAATGCTGACTTGTCATTCAGAGCATGATTAGAGTCTCATATAATTGGAATTAATAAGATTTCCAAGTTAGAAAATATATCTTCCGGGCAACCTTTTAACCCTTAGTGTTGACAGGAGAGCTTAACCTGAATTAGATCTCAGTTATATTTTTAATATCATCAAGATCTAGCACAGACCTCTGGAAACAGCACATAAATTACTGGTGGTTAGTAATAAATTAAAACAATAGAGTAGAAGTCTTTGTTTCCTTTCCTTGAGTAGCTGTGACAGAAGAAGAAGAAGAAAAAGAGGAAGCTAAAGGGACAATTCCAGCCTTGGTTTCTAAGCTGTAAAAATAAAAAATCAAAAGCTAGGTTCAAAAGAAAATAAGCAGCATTTGCATAGGTGCAGACTAAGCAGTTTCATTGTATAGTTAACATATACCGCCCATACCTGTCACTCATTTTGATTTCTGTAGTTATCTGATGTAAAGGATTGTATGTTGTGTTGTCATGGGCTGTCAGTTCCATCATCAATGTAGGACTGTAACCTTATCCACAGTGACACCCAGAATAAATAAACCGGCAAACCTTTAGAGCTTTCTTGAAGAACAGATGACACCACCAAAGATGATCTGTACAGATTTTGTTGTCTTCCCAAACCACTTAATGTGATCAGAGAATTAAAATTTCAACAAGTCATTTAATGATGGCTGAGCTGTAAGAACTGTAACACCCAGGTTAGGTTTCTTGGTTTCATAGTCATATGTGGAATAGTGTCTTTCTGCACGGAGCATATTCCAGTATAGTCTTCTCTGGCTTAAGTGACCAAATAAATTTATTAGCAATGAGGTCACTGTAATTTTCAATAAATGGTGATTTGCTGATTTATATCAAAAGATCCATAGAGCAGTAAACAATACCATTTACATTTAATTAGTTTTATTGAACCAGGGACTATTTTATTTGTAATGAACTGCATGTTATGATTAAGGATGTATTTTAATGATCTTTAAGTAAGGTGGACAAATGTTGCCCTTGACCTAATAGAGGTGGTTTTTCTATGTTATTGATAACTTCAGAGTGATTTCTAAATTATTATGGTAAAGTGCAGAGAAAAAACATTATAATTACTGTACCATCATTTAGTTGTTTCATGCAGACAGTTTGGTGCATCCTTCCAAAACATTTGCTTGAAATTAAGAGGGAAATACTCAACAAAACCATTTCTATTTAATTTCTAAAGTATAGTTTTCTGATATGCTGTTGTAAGCTCCCTACAAGGATAATGCACCAGATTCAACAGAACTGGAAAAATTATCATTCTGATCATAGTGTAAAGATAAATCACCTTGTGGCAGAGTATAGATCACAATGGGGAAATTGTTAATTAATTTATTTCAAATAGAATTTGAAATAATTTAGAAATGAATAATGAAGGTTTTGTTATCTAGTCTTTTTACCTTTATATTGAACTTCCTTTCACTTGAGAAAATTCGGATGCAGTTGCAGACTTCTTCAAAGGAAAGAGCAAGTTTTAAAGTGATTTAGTTTGCTCACAGGTTAATTTCTGCAAAGCATGACAGTCTGTTAAAGAAGAAAAGGTTCGTGCTTGGCTCACTTCATTAATAGTTTTTATTGTATTATGAGTATGTGTGTGGTATTAGTTTTCTGCTGTACTGAGACTCTTATTTTTCTGTGCACAATAAAGCACATAATAGCCTGGATTATCTAAATTGTAGGTGATAACAGATTGAAAAGAAGTGAATGATGAAGATATAGGACACCACATGTGTATTAGTTTCATATGAATTATTTCTCAAGAGGCTGATGAAAACTAACTTAGAAGAACAAGAATGCATTGAATGGGAGTTTGTGTAAAAGCTTACAATAAATGGTTGATGATTTAGTATAAAAACAGATTATTTGTAATGGAAGATGTTGAAATCTGATTTGTGCTCTTAAAATATGAATTAAATACTTGGATCAGCAAACATAAATCATTCAAGAGCAGAAGGTATGGTTAGAGTTCCATTCTTTGATAACTTAATGGAAATATCTTGGTAAATAAAACTACATGATTGTCTTAGATCCTTTTAACTTCTTTCCTTAGAATATTTCACAGTTTTAATATATTTGGGTATTTAGATTTCATCTTCTATTAGTAGTGTGTAATAGAAGATTTTTGCATGAACCAATGCTTAGTTTGTTTACATTGTTTTCGGATAACTATGCATGTGTCCTAATCTAAACATCTTTAAATAAAAGCTGGGTTTATGAAACTACTTGTCTAAATACATGATCCATAAGATTGGAAGTAACATTTAGTACTTGCTGTCTTATTTACTTAATGGAAAAAGGGTTTGACAAACACCACAGGAACACCTGTGCCTTCTGCTATTATGATGGATCACTATATGCTATGTAGTCTACTATATGCTACATCTCTAATACCTGAGGATAATTTACTTGTTGGAGGGACATCCATGTATCTAAAGATGAATAGAATTAATGAAAGTCTAAAAGTGAAATATTTGGTAACAGCAAGCAATAATACTGCTGTACAAAATACTCAACAACCTCTTTCACATGCACTTCTCAGTGTACAGTGTCTTAATGAGCGTATCAAGTCTGTTAGTTAAACTGAATATCTGCTGAAGGAATGATGAAAGCAATCACTACATCTCAGGGCTCTACATGAGCCCCAAAACTTGCAGTGGCTAACAAATTGCTTCCTGATGTCTACATGCTATCCAAGGGCTTCAGGTCCATATTGTGGGTTAAACTGGTTTAGTTCCATGCTAAGAAAAGTCTGAACTGTGGAGCAGTTTCGTACTTTGGACACAGTGTGGACAGCATAACCAGGTGCAATGCTATCCACACAGGCTACCACTCACATCCCTTTTTCCTACACTCATTGGTGCAGGGAAAATAGGACGGCCCAGGTCCATGTCACTGCTACAGGTAGCTGTAGAGATCTGGGGAAGTTCCTGACCATCATTGGTTGCATCGGTGTTTCAGATTATGTTGGCACAGGGTGTCACAATGGCCAGGAGTTGTGAGGCCATTCAGAAGTAGCAGTGGTTATTCAAGATCCGAATTAAAATTCATGTTTTTTGGAAAGCAAAATTGATTTGATAAAGTAGGATTTAAATCTTTTGAGCAATATCTGGAACTGCTTCTGCCCACAGAAACAGGAGAGAGTAATCTCCACACAGCCCAAAAATCTACTTCACAGAGCTAGTTTTGCGAGTGGCACCAAGGGTTACAAGTGAAGAATAGGAGAAAAGGACTGGATTTAAGCCCAACCATATGTACTGATTACTGCCCTATAAACCTCTACTAGAAAACAATTGATTGTAGTGAATTTATTGGGTTTTAGAACATTGATAAATACATATTTTTTGATATTGGAAGGTTAGTTTGGAGCTAGGGGAAATATAGTGGACCTTTTATTCCCCAAAGTAATGTGATATGCTCCCTCTGCATATGATGTGTGGGAGAAAGAAGAAAATAAACAGGAACCTGTTGAGTCCAGTATTGGGAAATAATTTTCTTCTTTTAGTTTTAGATGTTGGTATCATGGAAATATTTAGATATTTCAAAATTTTCTATTCCAGGATCTTTTTTCCATCAATGCATATGTTTATGCTCAGAAGCCACAAATGGATATACACAGTTTTGAAGGCACCTTTACTCGGGTAAGTAGCAATTTTAATACCTATCTTTCTTCTACTCATGTGATTTATTCAGGAAATCTGGATTTTAATGTGAGAGGTATGAGAATATTCACAGGGTGTACACTTGGTGAAATACTGTATGCACTACTATCAGTGCTATTCTACTATTCTTCACTTCATTATGCATGCCGGATACCTTTCAAATGAATTATTGCAACTTATTGTGGAGGATTGTGTTGTGTACAATGTAAAAATACGTGTGAAATAAACTGCTTTTTATATGTATAAAAACATCCCCCAATATAGTGGTATGAATGTTGAACTAGGAGTCCAGGAGACCAGGGAATTCCATCTTGGCCATAGAAGCCCACTGGTTGGCTTTGTGCAAGTCCCACTTCTTGCCCTCAGCGGAAACCAGTAACATACCTAAGTTCAATAGTTGGATCAAATTGGATAGTTTCATTGAATCAATTGAATCTATTAACGTAACACATAATTTAACAAGTCCCATCCGTTCAATAGCCTACTATAGTTTGGGATGCGCTGTTGGGTTTAGCCTGTTACCAGTAGTTGTCTTAAATGCAGACATTCAGTTAACTGAATTTTTGATACAACATACAGTTTTAGTTCAAGATGCGGAAGATGTACGGTAGTTCTCTTTAAACATTCTTCCTGAAATGTAGGTATATGTGTGAGAGAATCATATATGTATGTGTATGCATACACATGTATCTGTTTGCCTGTTGCATGTACACATCTGCATCTTCATGCCAAACTTTTCAGTGCTGTTATTTGAGTGTTAAATGTTTATTATTTCTTTTTGTTTACTTGAGATCATATTTTCAATTTAATTCAATTTTTACAGGAAGACAGTGATCCGTCTGTTCATGAAAGTCTAAGCATTGAAAATACCTTATGGGCAAGCACTGTTGTTGCTTCAGGTAAGAAACAGTGCATGTTTCAATAAATATTTCACAATAGAAAATTTAATAATTTTACTCTTGCTGCATTCCTCCATATATTCCTGTTTCTCTTATAATCTGCTTCTTGTTCAGTTTTTTCTAGGAACCTGAATGTTGCTTTCAGCATCTTTGAAACTACTATTTAAATTTCCACATATTCTCAGTTCAGCATTAGAGGAGAACAGTAATAGCAAGGGAAATGCCTGTAATAGTGTGTCTTCCTACTATTCTCAATTGAACCTTCACCACTTACCTGCTTAACTGGGTTACTTTGTTTATATTGATAAACAAGGGAATGTGGCAGTTTTTACTGAAATGACATGAAGTAATTGATTCAGCTATAACTTTAAGCAATAGCTATGTGTGAGTTTTGTCTGGCAATAATAGTCCCGGGTATTATGGCATATTCCCATTTTGCTAACTTTCAGAGTGTGCCTAATTGGCCATGGTAGTCCACGCTTTTGTTACATCTCACATCTCAACCAGACTACTGCAGTGTGCTCTACGTGGGGATGCCTTTGAAGACTGAAAGCTTCAAGTAGCCCAACGGGTGGCAGCCAGGCTCCTTACTGGAGCGGGGTACAGGGTGCACACAACCCCCCTGTTGTGCGAGCTCCACTGGCTGCCAGTCTGCTACTGAGCACAATTCAAAGTGCTGGATTTAGCCTATAAAGCCCTAAATGGTTCTGGCCCAGCTTACTTGTCTGAATGTATCTCCATCTATGAACCATCTTAGAGGTTAAGATCATCCGAGGAAGCCTGCTCTCGATCCCACCCCCTTCGCAGGTGCGACTGGTGGGGATGAGAGACAGAGCCTTCTCAGTGATGTCTCCTCGACTGTGGAACTCCCTCCCCAGGAAGATTAGATTAGCCCCCTCCCTCCTGACCTTCAGAAAGAAAGTGAAGACATGGATGTGGGACCAAGCCTTTGGACAATGATTCCCAATGCAATAATGATCTTCCAATGCAATAATGAATAATGTGATTGACAACCGGAATGGTTCCTGGAATATGCCTTTGGATAGTGTGATTTTAATTAATTGTTTTAAAACTTATATGTTTAATTATGTAGTTATAAAATATATGTTGTTTTATTTATGTATGTATTTATGGCATCGAATTGTGACTTTGTTGTTTTAGGAACAGTAATTGGTGTTGTTATTTATACTGGAAAAGAAACTCGAAGCGTAATGAACACATCCAATCCAAAGAATAAGGTGAGCTGATTTGGCAAGAGAGAATATTGGAGCACAATATTTAATATTTCAGATATCTTTTCTTTTCAAAAATATCAGATATAAAAACAAAGGATTAGCATGATATATTGTCCCATACGTTGTCTCATAAATATGCACCCTTAGCATGGCCATTTTGCCATATGGCGAACACTTTCTCTTTTAGGTGACCGTTTGTTCCTCCCTATAATAAGTTTCATCCAGTGTCTTAGGTTTTTTCCCTGCGGCATCTGTCTTGTTTTTATTATATTGCAGTTGGGCAATGTTGTATGTCATGATTTTTTTCAGATTGCTATTAACAGTACTCAGGGCTTGTTTTTTCAGAACATTGTAACAATAGAATATAATTGTTACAAAAATAGAAAAATTTGATTTTTTCCCTTCTAGCACAATTATCTAAGTTGTAGATTTTAGTTTTGAAAATTGAAGCATAGCTACAGATATCTCCAAGAAGCATATAGCAGTCTCTTAATCTAATTATTCATGTACAGTGAAGTTATCTTTACTTCAGCAGATCAGAATGATAGAATCTTCCTGTCCCTGTATGACACTTTGAACATTGATACTCTCCATCAGAATGAAACAAATTATTTAATCTACTTTGTGAGTTTTCTATCCTTATCATTTCATGTGCTTTTTGAAATATCAGATTCCCAAATATCTGTCAGGGAGGTGAGGTAGAACAATCCATTCTGTATTTTGAATGCTCTTACTATGATGTAATTATTGATGGTGAGTGTCTTTGCATCTGTGGGGGTTTTCCATTCAAATTTATGCAAATAGCTGCTAATTTGGGGGCAATAATCTTTCTAAAGACTATTAAAAAGACATCTCAGTTATCATGAGCTGAAACTTGAGATTGCCTTTTATAAACCATACCTTTATTTAACCGGAAGATAATTATATTAAAAAAGGGGGAGGGGGGAATCTTTGGCTTAAAAATCAATTGTGACAGGTTGCCATTTTCATGCCATTCATAATAATAAGTTACTTAGAGTCAGAACGTAAGGAAGGAAATGATAATACAAATTGCCTAAAGTAGTCCTTGCAGCCCCTTGAGTGTATTGATTTGGGTTTCTAATAAAAAGATGCTTTTAAATGTGTCATTGACAAAGAGACAGGTGATATGTGCTATTATGTGAATTAGAATGCTCTGTTATTATTTGAATCTTGATAACAGCATTTTAAAATAAAGCAAAACACAATCTGTGGTATGCATACTTATTTTACCTCTGATGCCCTGATGTGAAATTAAAACTTTTCAGGAAAGGGAAAAAATCTAGATCAAAAGTAAAGTATTCTCACACATTGAAATGAAAAAAATAATAATAATACAATAATATAGAAGAACTGGGTATTATCTGTTCTGTCTTGCAGGTTTGTCAGTTGCTTACTCTTTGGAAACTATAGTATTTTCTGTACTAAATCCATCATTGTGTTTTCATCAAATAGATATGTACAATAAAAGGTAAAGCCTGGGTTCAACAGCATCACTGTGCTGATTGAATCAGTTCTGTTAGGGTTATGTGGGAGCTTTCCTTCCTTACCGTTTGCTTTATGAGAGCTGGAAAACCCTCTAAAACAAACTTTCAAGTAGTAGTAAGACCTCTGATGGAAAGAAGTGAAGTAGAAATCTTGTTGCACTAACAGAAGCACACTTATGAAACCCTGCATATTGTATTACGGAAGCTAGGGCCATATGGGTTAAAATACACATTGTTGCTTTGTGTATTAACAGAGATTTGTTTTTAAAAAATGTAGCGTTGGTGCGGAGTAACATCAAGAAGAGATTAAATGGAACAAACAAACAAATTAGTGGCACGTAGGCAAGTTGTGATCCAGCTTTTAAGATTATGGCAATGCACAACCCACCTTCATTTGCATAATCAGTATACTTTGATATTACATCTGTTAACAATTAAAAGTTGTGTTTCTTCAGCTGAAATGTGAACATAAATAAACTTATAATTTCAGGCAGCAGTAAAGAGGCAAAATGTTAAATGCTGAAAAAACAATCATAATTAGAACATCTGGGATGTATCATAGTTCAGGGGATAAAGTTTAAAATAGTTCTTTAAAATGTGTAGTTTTCTCAATTCGCACAACTGAATCCACAAAGGTACACATCAAGTATTTATTGAATATATAAGTATGTACAATATATAAATTAGTAGAAGTATTTAATTCAAAATATGGAAAGGCATTCCTTTTTATGTTGTTGCTGCCATTCCTTATTGGTGTTGAAATTGCTACTCAGGGGGAGGTCTTCTGCTTTTCATGTTAGGAAAAGGAGGAATTTGAGGTCGCTAAAATGAAATGCACACAATGAGGACTCATCACTGCCTTAGAACAGTACATGGGAAGCTGTATGTTCTGAGTTGTAGACCAATGTCTGAGATGTGAATTGACCATTATTCATTATATGAAATGTTAAATGCTGTATTATAAAATTGTTCTAGCCTGGAAAGCTCTTCTGCAACTTCCTGCATTTGAAATAGTTAAAGGATATTGATATGAAGGCATATTAGGATTGTTTAGAAATAATTCATTAGCATAGCAGTGCATTTGAGAGTATTGGAGGGTGGGGACATCAGTACAGCAGCTCATGCACAGTGGAAAAGCTAAAGATTTAACAAAGACGTTACGGAGCAAAACTGAAAATAATATGGCTCTTCTTCCTCTGATACCAGTTTGGATGGCATGTTATTTCATCAGTCTTCTGGCTTTAATTCACATAGAAGTGTTGTTTACATACTGATTTTTTTTCATCTCAGGAACGACTTGAGAAACTGCAAGTCGCTTCTGGTGTAAGAAAATTGACTGTGAGGATGTTGCCCAAGCGACACCTGGATGTGTTACCATCCTGTGGGAGGCTTCTCTCATGTCCCCACATGGGAAGCTGGAGCTGACAGATGGAAGCTCACCCCACTCTCCAAATTCGAACCACCGACCTTTTGGTTAACAGTCCTGCTGGCACAAGGGTTTAACCCATTGCACCACCGGGGCACCTACATACTGACTGAATACCAGGACTGAGACCTTCGCATTTCTGAGTAATGAGAAAATAACAAAACAGAGCCATCCACTGATGGCAGGTCATCCCTTTGGGAGTGACACTACAGGGGGTTGTCAAATCAGGAAGACACAAGGATGGGGCACCATCCCTTCTTTGAGTGGTTTATTTGATTTATTTGATTGATTGATTGATTGATTCATATCCCACCTTTCTCCCAGCACAGGATCCAGTGTGGCTTACAGCAAGTCAAAACAAAATATATCCAAACTACTGTTAATATAAAGGTTAACAAATAAATTTCAAAAACACAACACCGTTTAAAAAACATAATTGCAACATCTCTCTACTTGAGCAACTTAAAATCGAAAAGCCGGCTTAAATAAAACGGTCTTCAACTGCTGGCAATAAGACAGCATAGAGGAGACCAGCAGAATCTCCTGTGGTTGCGAGTTCCACAGTTTGCAAGCACCCACTCAAAAGGCTCTTTCATATTCTCTGTGAGCATGCATGTGATGGTAGAACCAAGAGAAAGTCTCCCACGGCCCAGGTGTTAAAACTCAGGCAGGTTCATATAGTACGATACGGTTTTTCACATAGTCTAGACCCAAGTTATTGGCACTTGACAGCAATTTGAGTATAGTGTAGGAGTGTGGATTGACTTTGTCACCTCCAGAATCCCTACCTGAGAAACAGAGTTCAGAAGTAGGAGCATGAAATGCTCATATGCGAGCTGGGCACTGTGGATGCAGCAGAGACAAAGGTGGAGTCAAATTCTCGGCCACCTCTGTAATTCATTGGCCTGATTCTGTTGATTCTGGTGTTTGGGGGAGGAAGGCAAAAGATGTTTGGAAGTTGAATACAACAATTCAATTATTGTGATCTGATCATTGCCTGTGAAGTTTGCTTTCTGTGGTGGGGAACAAATTAAGATGATTCACCTGAAGAAATTTTGTTAATCAAAAGATTCCTGTATGCTCTGAAGGATTTTCTGTCTGCCAGGATTGCAAATGTAGTTGAGGTCTTGGATTCACTATTGAATGATGAAATGGAAAGGGCTCAATACAGATACTTCCAACTGCCTATTTCAGTGCCGTGAAGCCTGTAATTCCACTTGGTTTACAGAAGATCTATAGGCAATGAAACAGAATGCACAGTGGCTAGTGAGTAGATAGTACAAGTTGAAAAATCAGAATAATGGAAGATTAGTGAGACCTTTTTGATGGGCCTATTCTATAGCAAAGAGTGGGGGGGGGGGGCGCTCTCAAAATTTGTCCCTACTGTCTTACCCTTGACATTTTTCCCAATACAGTTATTATAATTGGTGAGGACACAATGCATCCAGAAATGGAACACTTTGTAATATACAATAATATATTTGATAAAGGGAAGCTACAAATATTTGGCTAAAACTTGGCATCACAGTTAAAACTATGCCTGAGATATCTCTAGCATTCCATTTGTGGTCAACCAGTTCTCAGTGGGTTTCTTGGGATTGTTGCAGCCTGATCATATAGGCAGGATGGTTGAATAAGTACATCCCACCATACCTAGGCTTAACCCTTTACATCTTCTTGATGAGGACCAGGATTGTCCAGGTGGATACAGGGGGTAGTAAATTGGCAAAGGAAGGTGCACTCTCTCCTGGAATCTCCCTGGACCCAGAAGTATATGAGAATTATGCTCTTATGACTTTTTGAAGGGAAGATCCTTGAATATGTGGTAGCTGGGCAATTTCAGACCATCTTGGATAGAATTATTATTATATTTATTTATACCCCACCTTTTCTCTCCACAAGGGGATTAAAGGGGATAGGACAGGTTTTATGGACCCATTCAGTCTGGTTGCAGGCCAGAATGTGGTACCAAAATCATAATTTCCCCCAGCTAATAACCTTGGTCCCCATCAATAAGATGGAGGGTATCAAGCCTAGATATGATGAGATGTAATTCAAGCATCCTGTCCACA